GGGGGGGGGGGGGGGGGGGGGGGGGGGGGGGGGAGGCTGTTTCCTATGGAGCCTGGGGAGGGCGAAAAAAGCATGCAAAAATGGGGGGGGCGCCTCTCATGCGTGCATGCGTACTGGGGGGGCTGCGTGTTTCATTATGGGTGTGGCATGCCCGTGCACAACCCCCCTGTGCTCCCCCCCTTATGACGCGCGAGCCAAAAAAGGTTTGCCATCGCTGTACTAGAGGGAGCCCCCTTGTGAAGTACTGTGAAGCCATTACTATGGCAACTCCACTGCGCTGTACAGTAGAATCCATTTTATGGCAGTACAGTAGAAGCCATTTGAAGGCACAATAGGCTGTATCTTAACAGAACACCCCTCCTAAGGGGTGTTAGGGGTGTCATACCCCCACAGTATTTGTTTCCTGGGAGTAAGTCATCTGTGTACCAAGTTTGGTTGAAATTGCTTGAGGCGTTCCAGAGTTATGCTGGAACACACACACACACACTGTAGGGATGCTGCAACAATGAGTCTCTTTTTTCAGTGCCATTTGTAACTTGGAACGGTTACTAACCGAACCGTTTGTAAGTTAAGGAATACCTGTATTGGAAATGTCAGCCATGAGCAACCAAACTCATCCCTGCAGAGTTTGAGCTAACTACAGATAGTACTCGACTTACAACCATCCGTTTAGTGACAGAAGAGTGAGTAAGGATCTCAGCGGCAGCAGAGGAAAGGGGCTGTTTCCTATTCAGATGCTAATGGTTTGATGCGTGTTGATAACATGTTCCCAAGTAACATGGTTGAGCCAGGGATTTGGGTAAAGCAAGGGTGTCAAACTCAATTTCATTGAAGGCCGCATCAGCTGTATTTGACCTTGGGGGGGGGGGGACGACGACGACTGAGTGGTGTGGCTCACTGGGTGGGTGTGGCCAGCTTGACACCACTCACCAGGTGTGGCCAGCTGGGTGGGCATGGCCAGCTTGGCGCCACTCCCCAAACTGCTGGCATGTTTCCTCTTTGCATTGGGTAGACTGGGCCGAAGCGACATGGGCACACCCCACTTTCTGGTGCATGCGCTGAAACGTTTCTTTTTTGACAGGAGAGTTCCATAAAGAATAAAGGATGGTACTTTAATTTGTGTTTTTCTTTTGATCGAAGGCACTCTCAGGAATGTGGTTCTGGTCTTGGGTTATAGCCATGAAGAGGAGGGTGAAGACGGACACATTAAAGGTACGTGTTAAGTCCGTTCTTCATCTGTTCCCATTTTGCAGCGGGCCACACCACTAGCACTGGCAAGATGATCTGTAGGGTATGGTGGGTGGGGAAAGACTTTTGTCATAGTCGCGGCTGCTTTTGGAAGAAAAATCCATCTGATTCAGTTCCAAGCTGGGAGGAAGGCTCTGGAAAACAAAATGGAGGCTGACTGGAAAGAAGGATTTCCGTTTACTGATGAGCAGAAACACCATGTAGATCTGGGACAGCTGATAAATTAGGATTTTTATAGTTTACAGCAGGGGTGTCAAACTTGATTTCATCGAGGGCCGCATCAGGGTTGTATTTGACCTTGGAGGGGAGGGCATGAGGTAGGTGGGCGTGGCCATGGCGTGACACAGGACTCGTATCGGGGGCATCTGCGGTGGCCAAGTGCTAAGGCAGGACTTCCCTGAGATCCTCTCACACTCATTATAACCTACCTACCTACCTACCTTCCTTCCTTCCTTCCTTCCTTCCTTCCTTCCT